CTGCAGGTCAATGGAGATTATCCTTCCCCTCTGCTCAGCTCTGGTGAGACACATCTGTAGTGCTGTGTCCAGGTCTGGGCTCTCTAGTGCAGGAGAGGCATGGACGTACTGGAATGAGTCCAGCAAAGGGCCATGAAGGGGCCCTTTAAGGCCCCGTTAAAGGACTGGAGCATCTGTCATATGAGGAGAAGTTGAGAGAGCTGGGATTGTTCAGCCTGGAGAGGAGAAGGCTCAGGGGGATCTTATCAATGTGCATAAATATCTCTTGGGGGGGGGGGGGGGTTTTTCAGGGGGGCTCAGGGCAGGAGGCAATGGGCACAAATTAAAATACAGAAAATTCACTTAAACATAAGAGAAAACTTTTTTTTTTTTATGATGAAGGGTGATCAAATACTGGAACAGGTTGCCTGGAGAGGTTGTAGAGTCTCCATCCTTGGACATCTTCAAAACTCAACTGGACGTGGTCCTGGGAAACTGTTACTACAGTCAGCCTACTGTTGTTGACTGTGCTTTGAGCTCCTTGTTAGATTAGATGATCTCTGGAAATGACCTTCAACGTCAGTGATTCTCTGAAATCAACATACAGGAATAGTGCTACCAACAGTTTGCCAGCTGAAGGGCAGCTCTCAGTCGCTTCACAGAAATGCAGGAATAGACTTCGTCTGTGGAAAAGATAGAGACTGAAAATATCAGAGAGAATATCTGAGAAATAAACATCCTTAGATTTTCCAGGGAGATAGCATGATAATACTCTTGGAGTCTTAGTCTCCTGAGGTTTCTCATATAAAAGCTATGCATGTATTTTTAAAACATATAAACACTGAAAATATATATATATATGTATGTATGTAAAATCTATGTAGGTGTACACTAAAGTGTAAATTAAAAAAACGTATAAAGAAACCACGCTTTGACGTCAGGGCATCACAGCAATCACCACAGTCAGTGCAGGTCCCGTTGTATTGCAAAGTTTGACCTATTGTCTCATATTAATACGGAGGGACAACAGTCAAGCTCTCACCGGTTCTGGTATCAGCACAAACATGTAATTCCTGGCCTGGAAGACCTTCCCATCTAAATACCTCCTTCAGCCACAGATGAATAGAACTCATTTTCTCTGCACTTTACCTTCCTGTTTTTCTGTTCTGTGTGGTGTACTTACAGACAAAAAAGCTTAATGTGAGGTGTTGATGGGAAGGCTGCGGTGGCTTGCTATAGCACTGTGACCTCAGAAATGCAAGCGATGTGTTCAACCTGCACACACAATGAGTCACAGCTGAGCACTGTGGAACTCAGCAAAATATGTGCGAGCTGAGGAGTCCTGCAGACAGCAAAGCTGCGGTCAACCCAAGCACAAACAAACAAACCAAAAACCCAAGGAGACTAAAATATGTTCTTAGTTGTGAAAAGGCATAGTATGAAAGATGTCCTTTAGGTTAAGATAAAGCAAGAAAGAGCTTGCTTAGGTGTATTTGGTCTGTTAATAATAGCTGCAAATTCAAAAGGTAACTACTGATGTAAGAGTCTGAAGCTTCCATTCAGGAAAACGTCACCTGAACGCTCCATTTATTGTTTTCTTGTGCATGTTCTTAAGGGCCTTTAATTCTACTTCTGTCCTGAAATGGGCCTTGGTGAATCATGTATCCTTTATGTTTGTAGAGACGGACACAAAACTGTGGAAGAAAACATGACTTCACTCTCTGAATGTCAGCATTTACCTCACTGTTATTCATTCCAGTTTTTTAAAGAATCGGCACTGCTTGATCTCCCCCTCCCT